AAAAGTCATCGCAAAGTCCAAGGTCACCAAGATTTTTCTCTGGAAGTTACTTTTAGGTCTATGATCCATTTTGAGCTATTTTTTTATTCTGAGAGCTGTAAGTTCTCTGTAGAGAATTGTCTTAAAAATACATTTTTTCATTTGTTCCAGCACTATTTGTGATAAAAAGACTGTCCTCTCTCCATTGGGTAGCTTTGGTTCTTCAGTCAGAGATCTTTACACTGTACTTCCTGGTGCCGTCTGTTTTGGATCTCTGTGTGCGCCTCTGATCTGCTGTTCTCTTCCTTCCCCGCTGCCCCCATGCTTCTGGGTGTGTGCAGGCCCAGGCCAGGGCCTCAGCCCTCCACCTGCACACGCTGAGTGCTGCTTTGACTTCTCGGGGGCCTCCTTCTAGATGGGTATCCCCCATCCAGGTCTATTCTGAAGAAGGTATTCCATCCACGGGGAATTTAGGGCTCTTCAGTTACTCTGTGTCTAAATGGCATTTTAGTCGTCCTCGAGGGACTCAAATTGTGTTCCTTTTAACAAATGTTCTTGAGTTTTGAAAAACAAAACAGTCTGAAGGGGCAAGATTGGGGCCATAGGGTGGATGGGGTAAGGTTGCCCAATGTAATTCTTACAGGTCAGCCTTGCTACCCTCGAAGAATGATTAGGGCGAGTATGTTGTCACCATGGGGGAACGTCCTCCGCACAATCAATTTCCTGGCTTTTTTCTCTCACGCAGTTTTCAAGTTTTAAACACTGTTTTAATGATCACATCAAGAAGAGTTGTACAATCATCACCACAATCAGTTTTACAGCATTTTCTTCATTCTTGTACTTATTATTCTTAGCTCCCCATTTCCCCCAATCTCCCCTGCCATTCCCCAAGGAACAATTAATCCAGTTACTGTTGCTATAGATTTACCTATCCTGGATTTCATATATACAAAATCATTAAACACACACACACACACACACACACACCCCAAAACTAAACTGACAAAGCAGATAAAAGCGTCAGTTGAACAGAAAGCACAAAATAATAAAAATGTCCTGATTGCTGGGCACCACCTAGTTTTTTCAGCACACTTTGCTGTAGAACCCATATTTTCAGTGATTTCTTCATGAGTGTGAACCCAAGCTCCCAGGATTGAGTCGTGTTTTTTGAACAAGATGTGTCAAGATTACTCTTTGGAATTCCCCCCAAATAGTCACCGTAACCTGCTGAGCTGATCATTCTTTGCCTTGCACATAACTGGTCTAGCACGTCGCTTCAAAAACCACCATTTAGACTGGACCTTTTTTTTTTTAAACCTCCTAAGGAGTCCGAGATAAGTGTTTTATTGAGAGAACTTGTCTGCAGACATTCACCAAATAGAGATTGCTACACTGGTAGCAATACTTGTTGACTTAATTCTTATTTTTAATTGCATTGATTTCTGGATTTTATCTGTATTTTGTAGGAATGGTTATTTTTGTTTTAATACTTTTTAAATCTAATTAGTAGATAAGAACTAATCTTGTTTCTGATTCTTTACTGTGAAACCTATTTTTGTGTAACATATTTTCAAACCTATCTTAGACCTATTTTAGGTCTAAAATTTTAGGTCCATATTTTAAAAGTAGTTTTGTTTGAAATTACTGATGAAATTTGCTTATTTGTGTTTTGTATGATTGTGTTTTGGTGAAACAATTGATTTGGTAATTGGTATGTGTAAATGTTGATTTTTCTTAATCAGATTGCCATATTTCTAATACTAGCGTCAGTTATTTTATAAATAAAAGTGATATGCTTTAATGGAAAGATGGTTGACTGTGAGTCAGGTGGTACATGTGGATATTTGTTTTAACTTTTCCAGTTTTAAAATTTGTATTTTGGGACACGTTCATTTAACATTGGCTCTCCTTTCTTCATTAAGAGGTAACCTTTCATGATCTTTTAAGATCTCTGATAGTTCATCTGACATCCTATAATCTTTTAATTCTAGTGAGTTACTCTTCTAGAAAACACTGTTATAGTTGCCATTGCATATTATATTCCCAATATGTAGGGGTTTGGATAATTGTGCTTTTGTAATAACGCGATCGGCATTTAATATATTATCTGATCCTCTTGTGTATTGTTGCTTTCTAAAATTAGCCTCAACCTACCGTATATAATCGAGTATAAGCCAACCCGAATATCAGCTGAGGCACCTAATTTTTACCACAAAAACGGCATTAAAACTGTGCTGAAAAACCTCGGCTTATTCACGAGTACATACGGTATACGTACATTAGAATTTATTTCCATTTTCCAGCCAGAGTTCTCCAGGATCGTGCTTCACTTTCTCACTCCCCTTGCTAAGAATCTTCCTTTGCATTTCCATAACCTCTCTTTTATAATTATTTTAGCCTTCTGTGATGATTGCTTATATATTGCATTTCTGTGTGTTTGTGCTATACTGTAGATGAGACTAGACATTCTTTTAAGGCCAGCATTTAATTTTAACTTTCTTACCAATCAATACTGATTTGGCCAGTTCTTTTCTTATCACAGAAGTTTAATTAAACTGGATAGAGCTGAATTTGTGAGTGTAATCTAGTAGCGTCAGACCCAGGCCTTGTCTATATTCAAGAAGACTTGAGATTCAAGGTCAACATTAAGCGATTCCTATGAGGTGGAGGTCACACATAACTCCACACTCCAACTTTTTCAATATTCCTGATACCAGCCAGTCTCCCACAGGATTGTCAGTGTCTCTGCTTTGATGATTGGCTGCAGTGAGCACACTGAAATCAGACCATAGTCATAATTAAGTGATTCATTGGGGAAGTAACAGGCTACCACCCAGGATCAGGATCAACATGGAACTAACAGGATATAACTCAAGCAACAGGGTTCCTTCAATCAGGACTGCTTCCAACCAGGACAGCTCTGAGCTTGGCCTCACTGACAGACAGGTAGACCCAGTTTTCAGCTTCCTGCACTTGCACTGCTGCCATTGTTTTGCTGCAGTTTCTTACTGTCACCGCCCTCTCCAGTGTTACTTCTCTCTCCTGTGCTCAGGAAGTTCTCCTTTCAGGAATACTGTGTCCAAAGGGTGCATCTGCTCCTGCTTCCTCTTGCTGGTATGAGATTTCCCTCAATCTCTGTGGGATTGGTCTTTGTGCGTAAGCCCACTTCTTGATAATTTTAAGACTTGGTCTTCTCACTAGGACCACAATCCCTTTGGTGGACCACAGCCACTTACTTGGTATAGTAATTGACCCCCACAGGTTGGGTTAATCTTATTGGGTGGTGTTTTGCACCTTATTTGAGTAGTAGACTAATAATTTCTTTTGCCAAATTATGGCCAGTCATTTTGGCAGTTATAAACCAAAGTGCCAAAAGGTCTTAGATAAGAGAAACCCATTGCACTATGGCAGTGAAAAATTAATCGGTTAATAAAAACAGTAGTTTAGCAATTTTGAATTAAAGCATGTTTCAACAGTTGTAGTTTATGGCAAACATATATTTTCTGTGTTCATTTATGTATTATCAGTCATGCCTGTTATCTAAACAGTCTTGCTGATCATTTTCCTTAGCGGCGCCCTGGTGCTGCAGTAGATTACATGTAGGGTTGCTTACTACACAGCCAGCAATTTGAACACATCAGCCACTGTATGGGTGAAGGATGAAGCTTTCCACCCCTGTAAAAGTGTACGTTCCTGGAAATCCACAGGGGCAGCTGTGTTCTGCCCTCTAGGGTCACTGTGAGTAGGAATCCACTTGATGGCGATTTGGTTTTCTCCAGTGTTACGCACTTAGCACTTCTCTTTATGTTTGTAACCCGTTTAACAATATGCTTTCATTTGTCATTGTAGTTCAGCACCCAGGTTGTTTTAAACTTTTAATGGTACTTAATTTTGCTAACATTATTGATTTGAATTTTATATATTCTTTCCTGACATCTTATTCATAAGTTTTTCAATTTTTTTCTCTTATAGCTCTTTTGTGCATTTCTATCTATTTACATTTCTTTCATTTGCTTATTTTTTTTTTGAGAAATCATTCCTTCTTTGTTTCTTAAAAGACACATTTTTGTTTAATTAATTAATTTATTTTTGGGTGCTGTTTCCAGGTAGGATTAATACTGACAAAGTTTATTAGACTTGGTCTCATGTTGGATTTGATAGTAGAATTGCTGGGCATCAGGAATGAGCTTGAATTAGCTCTGGCAGACTTGGATTCTGGATGCTTTGATCACTGGCAGTGTATCTACTATGGCGATAACTTATTACAAAGATGGGTGATGGTACTGGGCATTTTCACAGATCGCCTTTTTAGGGGTAGGAGTCCAATTGTAGCATTAAAGGCTTTCAAAATGGTCATGTTGGGTACGGGTGAGTGGATAGACATACTTTTTCACTATTGGGTATGATAATCTATTTAGCCTTGAGTTATATTTGCTTACAGAACTGTGGTTGGTTTTGACTGGGTAGAAGGACAGAGAGCATATAAGATAATGAGTTAAAAAGTAGAAAGCGAACAGGAAGAGGAAAAGGCATGTGGTTAAAAATTGCCTATTGCGGCACTCAGTGTCAATAGCATTTATTGAAGAATTCTTAGGAATGTTACATTAAAGAAAGGGGATTTCAGAAATGAATGTAATACCATCTCATAGGAAATTTGACAACATTAAAAATAAATTATTTTCAGCCCTATTTTCATATCCTATTCTGCTTCTTTTAAGAACTTAAAAGTTTTATGTTTGTATAACAAATTGTATCATGCAATCCTTAAGAAATACATCAACTTTCAAGTGGCCCTTCTCAGAAATTACATAGGTAATATTATTAATAGCCCTTTAAGGATACAAAAGAGGAAAATTGCAATTTCTATTATATTTTATCAGAAATAGCAAATAAATGGAAATATCCAGGCATTTTCTCTAGTATTTGGAGAAGCACTTTATAATAGAAAACAGAATGTCTGTAGACTTGAAATATTAATTTTTATTTTCAAAAATATTAATCTATTTATTTTATTTTAACAGGCATCTTTCAGATGAAGGCATTGAAGCTTGTACAAGTTCTCCTGAAAAAGTCAATATTAATGACATCATCCCAATTGCTCTCAATGTAGGTTATTTTATTAATTTATAAACGTTTTTATTCTGGAAACCTCATTCACAAAACACTTTTCACAGAATCAACTGTTTTATAATAAGTAACCTAGATATTGCCTTTCATCTTCGTCCATTTGAAGTTGCAGTGACAATTGTTACACTTGGTAATATCAGATCAGCCAACTTTATTGGAAATATATGTTTATCACTTTTATCATACAGGATTAATGAAATAGAAGAATTGCAAGTACTATTTTTTTTAGCTCAGTGATCAGCTATAGAATTTTATAGCACAGCTATCTAATAGCTACAAAAACTGGCCATATTCATTTTTAACAAATGACTATTTATGTGGGAATTAGTAGGGTTGAAGCATTTTGACAGATGAATTTATTGTTTTAAAAATAACTTTTTCTGGTTATGAAAATAATGTCTACATATTGTTGGCAATATGAGAAAATACAGAAAACCAAAATGTGAAAACTATTATTAACAATGAAAGTTATGTATTTTAACACATGATCAATGAAATTTGGAAGAGAATTACTCTGACAATTCCATTATAGCGCTACAGAATAGATGCACTGTAAAGCAGAGATGATAACATTAAAAGTAAATAAATGTGTTTAGCTTCTTTAAAATCACTTAAATTTGTATTTATATAATTAAATTTAGATAAAAAAAATAAAAGCTTAGCATCTGAACCCATTTAAAAAAGAACTTAAAATTTTATTTAATGTGTCTGAAAAATTATTTCCTTGTTTCTGAGCTGAATCTTTACATTTTTACTAAACAAAAGGCTGAAGATTTTCAGAGTACGCACTAGTTACAAATTGTTCTGTTATTTCTGAGCAAAAATAGCAACAGTTCCTAGATACTTTAACTTTTTTTGACCTGTCCCCAAATTGGTGAATTCAACCAGTGAATTCTACTTTTTAATAGTATGTTAGAGAACTGTACATTATTTTCTTATTTATTTGTTGAAGAAATAGAATACTTTCTAAAAACGATTAAGCGATTTTGTAGCAGTCTTCCTTGTTTTCCTCATTGATGTACTAGGTAAGTTGGATGTAGGTAATCAGAGTATTGCTACTTAGGGTTCTAGTCCATACATTCATGAATTGCATTAATAAACTCATTCCAAATAGAGGAAGCGTAAAGTGTGTCTGTGCTCATCAACGGCTGCAGACTCGGCTTCTGTGATTCAGGTTGTCTGCTGCCGGTGTTGTCAGGTGCCGTCCAGTTGGTTCCGACTCGTCCGGCCTGGGCTCAGCTGAGTGGGACTGCCCGATTCTGTCTTCACAACTGCAGCCACTGTGGCGGTTCATCTTTAGGACTTTCCGCTTTCCTTTTCTTTTGTAACTGGCGTTTTGTTGGTTGCTTTGAGATAAATACAGAGGCATTATGATCAATTTGTACACAATTTTTTTGGTTTATTTTTAATCGTTTTATTAGGGGCTCATACAACTCTTATCACAATCCATGCATACATCAATTGTGTAAAGCACATTTGTACATTCATTGCCCTCATCATTCTCAAAACATTTCCTCTCCACTTAAGCCCCCGGCATTATGGTCCTCATTTTCCCCTCCCTCCCCGCTCCCCCCTCCCTCATGAGCCCTTGATAGTTTATAAATTGTTATTTTGTCATATCTTGCCCTGCCCTACGGTCTCCTTTCACCCACTTTTCTGTTGTCCGTCCCCCAGGGAGGAGGTCACATATAGTTTCTTGTAATTGGTTCCGTCTTTCCAACCCATTCTCCTTCTGCCCTCCCAGTATCGCCACTCACACCCCTGGTTGTGAAGGGATCATCCGCCCTGGATTCCCTGTGTTTCCAGTTCCTATCTGTACCAGTGTTATACACAATTCTTAGGGCATGTACCAAAATCCTAAAATGTCATGTAGATAAAATTTGTTTCTAAATTCTAGTGATTTTCCAGCTTTAAATTTGGAGGCAACTTTTTAAAGAGATTATCAAAGTAACAGTATCTTCAGATGTTGGTAAGTTGTTACATCTTAAGTACCACAAATTCACAGTTTATTGTCACTCACCCGAGACAGTCAAATCTTCCTACAATTCAATTCAACATCCCACTATTTTCTGGTTGGATCCAAAAATAACCAGTAAATGATTTCACATCTTACAGAAAAACATGCACACTTAAAAAAAAAAATGGGATGAAGTGGGGTTAACTCCTCCTTAAAAATTCTTTCTAGAGCTATTAAAGCACTTGCACTTACAAAATAGTCGATGAAAATAATCCTGGATTGTGCAAGGAGGGAGCTAACAGAGTCCACGGATAAGAAATGGTAGATACACATTAATCAGACTTGGCTTCTTTTTCTCCTGCTTCCTCAGACGCTGGGTCCTCCTCGTTTTTTGTTTCTCCGTTTTCGGTAGGTAAATCTGCTTTAGTTTCTTGGTCAGCTACTTCAGCCTGTTTTCCCTTTGCTCCTCTTTTCCCTTTTGCTTGCACTTTTTTGTCTGAAGATTTATCCTTTCCTCCTGCCTTTTTGGCTTCGTTGTCACTTTTGCAGGCCCATGTTTTGCTGTCAACCTTGCCCATCTTCTCTTGGGCTCCTCCTTCACCACCCCCTCTGCTCAGCTGACCCCGCCTTGTTCTCACACCTTAGCCCGGGTCCCAGTAGGTGAGGCGGCCTGTTGTGCCCGGCGCCCCGCTGTAGGTCCAAGGGCTTTCCTCTTTTTTCTTGCCTCTCTATTTCACTAAGCATGGTGTCCTTTTCCAGGACTGAACTCCTGACTACAGGTCCAAAGTGCATGAGACAAAGTTTCACCATCTTTGACTCTAAGGCGCATTCTGTTTTCACTTCTTCCAAGACAGATTTGTTTGTCCGTCTGGCAGCCCATGGTACCTGCAGTAGTCCTCTGTAGGACCATAATTCAGATGCGTCGATTCTTCTGTGAGCTTCCTTATGTGATGTCCAACTTTCACATGCATATGAGGCGATTGAAAATAGTATTGTGGCTTGGGTCAGGTGCCCCTTTGTCCTCAAAGGAACTTCCTTGCTTTCCAACACTTAAGAGGTCTTGTGCATCACATTTGCCCAATGCCATGTATTATATGATTTCTTGGCTGTTACTTCTATGAACATTGATTGTGGATCCAAGCAAGATAAGATCTTCTTAGGGTGCCTTGGGGTAGGGGTGGGGGAGCGGATAAAAAGATTTTGAGGTCAGAGCTAATACAGAAATTTGAACAAAATTTAAGTGCACCTCTTCACACATCCTCGAAGGGTTGCTGCCTCACATAAAACAACAGTGTTAGATGGATTGGGCTTTTTAAGGAAGGTCTGTAACACTTCAAAGATGAGCTGAGAGAGGGAAGGTGGCACTGATGAATGAAGAAATTCTGGCCGAAGTTTGGATATTGGTGGGAAAGACCGTAGATTTACCACTGACTTGATAACTACTGAAGTTGGTAGGTATCTCACTTGATACGGTGTTTTTAATGTTAAGCAAACATCTCAGCCTTAGCAAGCTCTCCGCCAAAAATGATGCATGGAGATCAGCTTCTTCAGCTACCTTGTCTTAGAGCTTACCTTGCCATCAGCCTTTCAAGCAAGGTCAAATCTAATGACAAATAAGGAGCAAATCTTAAGCAGGGACAAGTCTTGGATTTTCTAAAAGCACCTGGAGAGCAAGGTCCATCAAAACAGTGGCTTCAGCGAGAAACCAGAGTGCAATCCAAAGCAGAGAGGTCTGCCCAGAAGGCGCTGCTTTTGGGTTTCCAAATCGGGTAGTCTTGATGGATTTTTCTTGGAGGACACAGGAGGACCCTGGGGGCTTATTAGGAAGTTGTTTTAAGAATATTGGTAACTGCATTGGTGCGAAAAAGGCCAGGAAGCTGTGCTGAGGAGTTTCTTTTCATCCACACAATGCACCTGCACATTATTCGGGGGTGGCGAGGGCAGTACTACCAAGAATTAAATTTTCCATCTACTCTATATAGCCCCAGTCTTGCCCCTTCAGACTTTTTTTAATGTTCCCAAAATTCAAGAAACTAAATGTTCCTTTTAATAAAGAATCGTAGTTGAAGCCTAACTCATTTTGATGTATAAATGCCTAAACTGTCATTTTGATGTGTAAATGAAAGAACACAGAAGGTTTAAAGAGATGGACACACCACCTGCAAGAGTACATAGACCTAGAGAGAGGTTATGTAAAAAAACCCCAATAGTTTCAAATTTTCATATTTTTATATAATAAAGGTGTTTCTGATTTTGTAGCAGTACTTTCTGACTCATCGTTGATTCCATATTTTTATGTTTACATAAAAGTGAATGATCGATAATTGTGTGTGAAACTTAAAGTGAAATGTGTGTGCCATACACACAAGAGACGTAGGATGACTATTTCTGAATGGCTTCATTTTTTTGTTTTAATTTTCTCTGAAGTTGAAACCACAGTCCTGAACAATTATGATGTATGATGAAGAAAAGCCAAACCAAAAAATATTTTACTTTTTAAATGTATCATTGTCTAATAAAGTCCAACATTTAAAGTAGTTGGTACCCTGAAGAATTTTTTTTTCCAACTTTTAAGTGATGGAGGGTTTTATTCATCAGGAGTTGAGAAAGACTTGTGCAAGGGGGATTCAGAAGCTTGTGGGGAATTTTCATTATCTTTTAATTCCACTTTCCATGAACTTGTGGAAACCCCCTTGGGTTACTGAATATTTATAATATTCAGTACCACATTATTATGTTAAGAATTGCACACTTTTCAGGCTTCCACGAAGGTAGAATGAATCCCTGGGATTTTGTTTTGTGGACCTCCTGACCACTCTTGTGTGAGGATCCACCAGCAGAACTCATCGGAGTCAGCATGCATCACGGCTTAGGCTAATCTCAGAGGGAGGGCACACCGCAGCGTCTGCGACGAAAGAGACGCAGTGTGCAGGGTGGGGAGATCCACGTGCAAGCTAGCTTATGGTCTCTTCTTCTCGTGAAGGCACGTTCTGAGCTTGAGCTTTTCTCCAGCAGTGAAAAATCCAACTGTGTAGTGTGCAGTGTTTCTGTCCTGGGAAACCCATTAGAGATGCAGTGCTCAAGCTATTTGATTGTATTGGTCATGAGTATACCCTCTGCCCAGACCATAGCGAAATTCCAGACGCTCAGGCAAAAAAGCAGGTGTTCACCAGCAAGCACATGGTAGCACAAGCAGTAAAATAGTGAGCCACACTTTTTAGGTTGGGAATTGTTGAAGTGCCAATGCCAGCCTAGAGCTAGCATCACAAGCAATCTTTTTTAAAGAAAGCAAAGTCAGCCTGCTACCGTAACTATTTTTGCTCAGAGTTTTACATGGAAAATGGCAGTTCTTAGTTTTGTATTCTGTAAATGGAGATTAAAAATATCAATAAATGGAGTAGAAATTAAGCAAGTACTTTGGGCATACAACACCCGACTTATTTAGGGGAAAAATTAGTCTCAAATTAATTAATAAACACTGCTTTTAAAAGTTTTAAAAGTAGGTTGGTTAAAAAAGAAATTCTCTGCAGTGTTCTGTGAAGGATAAAATAACTTTCCAAATATTCTATTGAAATGGTTTGAACAACCAGTAGTTTGTGTTGTATACCTATATGTTTATGTGTGTCTGTAGCTGGATGCTTTATAAATTATAAGACATTTCAGTTAATATCAATTTCTACCTTTGTTTTTTAATGTTAATGTTCAATATACTCTTTCTTGTACTCAGTCATTCTGGTGCTACTTATAAAAATGGAGTCTAGATAGTCAAGCCATTGGGGTATTTATCTTTGAATTTAGGGTGCTTAAAGATTAAAAAAAAATTTAGCTAACAATACATTCAAATTTATATTTGTACGTATGCCTAAAACTTTATGAATAGTATGTAAAGGGTGGGTATATTGTCTTTTTGTAGCCTGCCAATGACTTTGTGAGATAGGGTTGTTGAGCTGTCAGGGTTCTGTGCTCACAGCTCCAATGACCTCAAACCACCCCTGGAAACCTCCTCCCTCCTTCCTTGGTCAGTCAGGACCATGCTACTCCACAAGACCCTTTCTTGCTCATCTCGCTCATGCCCCTTTACCCCAGGCCAGGGCCAAATGCTTGCTGGGGTAAAGGGGCATCTTTAAAATACAGCTGGAGAAAAAAAAAAAGGTTAAGGTGCTAGTGAGGTTCTGTGTTGAGCTGCCATGCTCTCTGGGGCCATGTTTACCTCCCAAGAGCAAATGGTGATTCTACGATGGAAACTACAGTTTCCATCTTTCAGGGCTCTTATTGGCTTCACCATGTGGCCCTGATACATTCCATCGTGCATCCTGAGGGTTAGTCAGATTGAACCGTCAGGTGATCCCTCTTGGTCTGGACAGGCCAACTCATTGGCCTCATATGTGGTCAGGCCATATTGTTTACTGCTGCACAGGTGGTCATAGGAGGGACCCGTGAGAAGTTCATGGGGAAAGGGATGAAACATAGTGGAAGCTTTCCACCATCTTTTTGAAGCCCCCTTGTATGTTTTCCCATTTTATACAAGACCAAATCAGCCGAGTTTAGAGAAATTGTGATGGTGCCCCAAGCCATATGGTTAACTGACTACAATCTAAGGTGACTAAAACCTGAGGGTTTAGTCTAAGGCTCATTTCTGCTGCATATTGATGCCCTCTTTTAGTTGGCATTCTTTCATGGTTACTTATGAAAACCAGGTATTTCAGTCTTTGAGTGACTTTAAAACCGTGCTTGTATTTTTTGAATTGCTAGTTTTCTCACTGACTTACATGATTCTTATGCATGTATAAATGATAACAAAATGCTATCAGATTGTTGATGTGTTACGGTCACTGATAGTTATCCTTCCCTGAATGCTAACTCAGTGCCAGTCATTGAGCTTCACAAGTGTTACCATTTCATACTCAAACCAACCGGAATAGAGGAAAAGCTCGTGTAAGAAATGATTTGTTCCTTTGTTTTGCATGGAACCTGAGATAGAGTTTATAACTTAAAAGGCGGGAGGGTTTGTGGGCATTGTGTAATTGACATGCGTGCCTAGATGACCACATAAGGGCATTGCAAATAGGCCTGTCGATTACTGTAGATGTTCAAAGGTGACCGTCCTCCTCTCTGTGGGTTCCTTTTCTGTCACGTGAATTACAGTCATCGAATATTTTCTCCTTAAATCTGACCTAAAGTTCTCTTCATAATTTATTAAGTGATCTTGATTATAGTAATTAAATGCACTATGAGCATTTTCTGTTATTCTGCATTTAAGGCCATGAAGTTCCTCTCTACTATATTCTAAGGAATAACAAAGCCATGCAAATTTATTTATTAGTTCAGCTTCACTGTGTGAAGATAATGTAGTGGGCTATGTGTTGGGCTGTATGGTCAGCAGTTAAACCCCCAGCCCCTCGAGCAGAGAAAGATGAGGCCTTCATTCCCATAATGATTTACAGACACCATTGGGCTGGGTTTTCTGCAGTGTCCGATGGGGTCGCTATGAGTCTGTTTGGACTCGATGGCATATCAAGCATCAGACTAATTTCTTATCGTAAGTGATTGGACCTTTTACCCAACTATGAATCTTTTGAGTAAATTCTTACCACTCCTTTGGTAAGAAACCATTGGATTTTCACTTCACAAAGAGGATACAGTTCTTTAAAATTCTCTTTTTCTGTAGATTAGGGACTTGAAGTTTTCTTTTTATGTCAGAAATGTCATTTTATTTATGCTAGTCTCTTATGTTTTCCTTTTTTATGTATTGTTTTGGTTTATTGAGTAATACATACTTTTGTATTTTCATAGAGTTATTTGTTCACTGCCTTCTGTTTGATTTGTTTAAGCAAAAGAAACATTATGTACTATAGTGAAAGCTGACTTTAATTTCTTTGCTATTCCAGTGATGAAATTTCCTGAAATGGTTGTGCCTTATGTATCCCAGCTATGTTAGGGATACTTCAGCTAGTAGAATAGTGTGCTTTCATGTCTCTGTTGATACCTTTAGGTAGAGTCAGCTGCTAGCATCTGCTATGTTTATATATTCAAAAGCAGCCATTAGATTTTGGATTGTGTCATTCACTTTTAGGTAAGATTATAATTTACCTAAGATTATTTGGTAAATTGATGGCATTATTTCATGGCTACTAATGAGAACCAGGTATTTCAGTCTTGGAGACTATGTTATGTTAAAAGTTTACCCGAAGAAATAAGACCTGAATTGAAGCTTGGCATATGAGGGGGGTTAAAGAAAAGTCTATAGAAAATTATTTCTGTTATCTTTTAATTCCATTTTTCTATGAACTGTTAGAAGCCCCCTCGCAATATTATACATTTACTGGTGCGCTATATGTAACTTTATACATTGAGCTGCTACTGATATCAGGGTATCAGTACAATGTATAACTTCTTCTGAAGGGTCGCTTTGATGGTTTTATATGGGTCTCCACCCCACACCTGCTAAGCTGGTGGTTAGGGGAATCCTTCAGTGGCTTTGGAGGCCTATCTATGTAGGAATATGAGAATCAATCAACATTTATATCGATAGACATTTATTTAGTTTTTAGACCACAAACTCTAAAGTAAGTTCCTCTTTTGTTAATGAGCATTAGATTTACTTTTCTCTATGATTCTATTTTAATAATAATATTTTTATTTTAGACAGACCTGAGAACAATTGGCAAGAAATTCCTTCCCAGTGACATCAATGGCGGAAAGGTAGAAAAGGTAAAGGAAAACATTAACTTTTTAAGGTAGTCAACTCTCCTAAGTTATGAACATCTAGTGGATGATTGAAATTAGTTTTTCCTAAAAAGACTGCAGCTGCAAAACTGATCATCATTTTAAAAGGAAAGAAAATGTTTCAGGACTGTAAGACACTTTGATTTTGAGTTGGGTTACTAACCGCAAGGGCAGCAGTTTGAAACCACCAGCTGCTCCGTGGGTGAAAGATGAGGCTTCCTACTGCCATGAAGAGTGACAGTTTCAGAAACCCACAGGGCCGTTCTGCGCTGTCTTGCAGGGTCTCTGCGAGTTGGAATCGATGGGATGGCGATGTGTTTGTTTTCTGTCTCACATTTGAGGTATCAGAGAGTTTTACCCCTTTCTTACGCTTTCATTTTGGTTACTTGTTACCATGTTTATTTAATGGATTTACACAATTCATTTACGTATTGCTAACATTGTGCGTTATATGTGTGCGTGTTCATGTACATGTTTTCCAGTCATCTCCCTTTTTAATACAAGGATGCAGTTATAAATACCAACCCGTCTTTTACTTTGTATTCATTTACATTTAATTTCTTCTCATTTTAAGATATATGTAAATTGTGTCAGCCAAGATTTTTCTATGTGCTGTATTAGTCACATTTTGATCTAATAAGGCAACTCAGGATCATCATTAGGTATAAGCTAAAGGAACACTTAACCTATGTTTTGTGTGTGAATATTATTCTTATTTTAACACCTGATATGTAAAGTACTCAGTACACCTCAGATAATAATATAAATAGGACTAACATATAATGACATGTTTTTCCTTTCTTAATACTGGTCTCTTGAAGAAAAGGGTGGTGATTATGGTACTGGAAACAGCCGTAAGAGGATATCTAATCAGCTCCAGTTTTGAGGCAGACACTAAGAAGAAGGCTCTGCTACTCTGTCTAACAATTCATTTTGTTTTAACAACATTTTGTGTCAGCAGACTTTATATTCCCATCTAAATTTCTTATGCTGCAATGGAACATTAGTTATGTCTTCTTTATCATCCCCCAGGGGAAGTGGAAAACATTTGGTTACCTTCCTTTGTGAATAACTCTTCATCTGCTGGAGACTTGTAATGTCATCCCCGCAGGTTTCTCTGTGATAAAGCCGTCTCTTTGGGTTCCCTGTTGGCTCTCAGTCTCAGGCTTTCATTCATCTTCAGTGTTCTTCCCAGAGCCCTTCCCAGGGTCCTGACATGGAAGTTTGGCTCTGGGACTAGGCCCGAGAACTCATCGTGGCGCAGAAGTACTCGGAGAGCTGGCTAAGACACAGATTGCTGTGGCCCAGCTCCTGCTTCTCAGATGGTCTGATTTCATACAACTGAAATGGAGCCTGGGAGTATTTTGAACATTTCCAGGCGATATTGAGCCTGCTGTTCTGGGGTGTACACTGAAAACCCCGGATTAGGTGTCCAGTCATGAACAGGTATGATGAGTGTAACAGCCCTTCATGGGAACAGTAAGTAACATCAACACTGTCTGTTCATCTTTATCAGATGAGGGATCGTGGGAGCTCCCTCCATTAGGCTCCTGGAAAGGGCCTGGTCCATGTGTCTTCGAACAACCTTGGAAGTTCCGTCACTAGTCTTGAGGCTCAGTGCAGTTTAATGGAGTTTTGTCAGTAATTCTCCTCTTTGGAGGCAGATTAAAGGAGTATAGAAATGAATCCTCAAACTTCTTCCTGTGGTTGGCCAAAAATAAATGCTTCCCACTGGGTGTGCAGAAAGCTGGGCATGGCAGTGACAGCGCAAAATCTATCTCCAGAGTCCCCAGGTGGATAACGCCTTCGTTGAAACCATTCTGAACATCAATCAGGAATGTGAATAATACTGCCCTCAGAGTGCAGGGAACAGGGCATCAGTTTCACTCACCTGATAGCCCAGGGAGGGGCAGTCTCCTCTGGGGGCTTGTCTGGGTGTGTCCTTGATGGAAGTCCCAGTTTGGGTGGCCCACAGACATGAGTCATCCTGACTGCCTTTGGTAGGTCTCTGGAACGATCTTGTAAAGTCCTCTGTGTACCACAATGCACACATCCCAGTTCTGGCTCCATTCCTACTCTGGTAGCAATCTACCTGTAATGTATGTTTCGATTGGCTGCAAACTGTGCATGTGGGACAGCTATCCTTGACTTCCCATGGCCTTTCTAAACTTCTACAGATCAACAAATCCTTGCACACTATTATGACTCTGTGCCAGTGGCCTCTCCCATCTGGATAACACGTCTTTATCTTCCCTTTGTCCTACTTAGAGCCCGGGTGGCATAGTGGGTTATGAGTTGGGCTGTTCAAAATCACCAGCCACCCAGCAGGAGAAAGGCGAGGCATTATACTCTTGTAAAGAATTACGGTCTCAGAAACCCACATGGGGCTATAGGACCTACTCTGTCTTATAGGGTTGCTATGAGTCGGAATCGACTTCATGGCAGTGCGTTTGGAGTTGTCCTGTTTAAGACTATCATAAATGCTCTCATGATACTATCTCAGTTTCAATTATGTAGCACTTTCTATAATTGGTAAGACTTACATAGCTCCCATTTCTCAGCATTTGATGGAAAGTTGATGGATCTCTGCACATGTGAGAAAAGGTTGCATGTCTGTAGTTAGGCATAGACAATCCTGGGCCTGCTACATATACATCTCTCTAGTCTAAGACACTGGAGCCCTGGTGGCATAGTGTTTATACTTTAGGCTAAGATCTGAAGGTCAGCAGTTTGAAATCACCGGCCACTCCTCTGGAGAAAGACATGAGGCTTTCCACTCCTATAAAGAGTTACAGTCAGTCCCGTTATTTTCTCCTCCAGATTGTTCATCCAGCCTGTCCTATCCAGACAGGCCT